GAAATGTGTTTCAAGCTTGAATGAGAAGTCAGGGTTAGATATATGGTGTATATCTTTTGGCCCAGTAATGCCACTTCTAGAAATCTGAATCTCAGAAATATTCATTCTTGTGCAAAACGGCATATATTTAAGGAGGCTCACCATGGCATTGTTTGTAAAACTTGGAAACAATCTAAAGGTCCATCAGTAAGGAATTTGTTCAATCTAATATGGAGTGCCACATGAAGTATATCCACATATACTTAGGTATATCCATATGTGGTGACCTGGAAAATAGCTCTAATATTTTTCAATAAAAGAGGCAAATTTCAAAATGAAAGTATGACATGAATCCATGTAATAATTGTTTTAAAACTGTGTGTGTATGTGTGTATTAAATATGTACATAAGAGACTTAGAAGAACACACACTGAATTGTTAACAGCAGTTACTTATGGAGAAGGGAGCAGGATTAGCAGGAAGGAGGGAAGACTTCCACTTCTTTACATACTTCTGAATTGTTTGAAACTTAAATGTTTATAAGCATGCATTCATATACTACATTTTAAAAGTAAAGGACAGTTGGGCCGGCCTGTGGCTCACTCGGTAGAGTGCGGTGCTGATAACACCAAGGCCCCGGGTTCGGATCCCATATAGGGATGGCCGGTTCGCTCACTGGCTGAGCGTGGTGCTGACAACACCAAGTTGAGGGTTAAGATCCCCTTACCGGTCATCTTTAAAAAAAAAAAAAAAAAAAAGTAAAGGACAGTAAAAAGGATTTTTAACAGACAGACTAAGGAATTATCCTGCTGAGGAGATGCGTGAAGCTCTGGCAGTGGGTGAAAGCAGAGGCTGGGGCTGAAGCTGAGGCCTATTCCCACGGAAGGGGAAACAGGAGAAACGAGGCAGGGCCACAGAAGAAACCCCAGAGAGTGGTCAAAGAGGGCGGAAATCATTTCTGACTCCCAGGTTAGGGGAGATAGAATCTCTACCCCACCAATGAGGCCATCTGAACCATTCCCTCCAGACTCCAGCCCTCCCCTCATGAAAGTCCAGCTTTGTTCCAGGGTCCCCAATATGTCCTTCGTGACCCACAGCTGGTCTGCATGTTGTTAGAGAAAAGCCTACCTCTACCTTAAGTGAAAGGCTTGCCTAGAAGACCAGCTCGACCCAGACACCACATTGCTTCGGGTGACCCAGCACCAGACCAGGCGGCCCCATCCCAGGTAGTCCTGATTTCTTCCTGCTTCTCTCCTCTCCCCTGACTCCATCAAAACTCCAGCACTTCTTCAGGCAAAGAAAATAATAGCCAGAAATCAATTCCATCTTCCAGAGGAGGGTTGTGTGTGTACATGTGCGTGTATGTGTGTATGTTGGAGGGGGGATAGGGGGACAGAGAGCAGCGTGACTCACAGGGGCTCCTCCCCTGGGGAGATGGAACCTGACAGACCGGGGTGTGGGATACATCGAGTGACTTCCTGACAGGGCTGTCAACACTTTTCACTCTTCACTCTCAGCAGTGAGTCCCCTGCAGCTGAGCTGAGGCTTCCCGTTCCTTCTCTCTACACCTCTCTAAGCCTGGCTCTCTCCCTTTCCCAGTGCCCCTTCTCCTCATTTGGCAGGCCCCTTCCAGTGCTAACTTCCTGGGTTGGTGTCCACTTTCCAGCTCTGGTAGGCTTTTTTTTTTTTTTTTTTTTTTTTAAATAAGATGACCGGTAAGGTGATCTTAACCCTTGGCTTGGTGTTGTCAGCACCACGCTCAGCCAGTGAGCTAACCAGCTATCCCTATATAGGGATCCGAACCCGTGGCCTTGGTGTTCTCAGCACTGCACTCTCCTGAGTGAGCCACGGGCCGGCCCTTCTGGTAGGCTTTTGGTTACTTCTTCTTCTTTTAACAGAAACACACAGAGTCAGCTTTTCTGGTGGGGTGCCCTGGCCCCTGGCTCCTTCCCTACCACAGCAAATTTTACAGATGATTGGGAGACCAGAGACGCACACAGTACATAGGGTACGGAGACTGTGTGTGTGTGTGTGTGTGTGTGTGTGTGTGTGTGTGTGAGAGAGAGAGAGAGAGAGAGAGAGAGTTCCTCAGGTCTTAGAAGTTATAGGACATGGGTGTCAGCAGTTATCTATAGAGTTTGTCTCATAAGGACACCCCCACCCCCATTTATAAATGAATAAGCTTGCACCCAGCAAGGTTAAGTGACTTATCTTCCATCATACAGCTAGCTAGTGGCAGAACCAGGATTAGAACCTAGGGATCCTGACTCACGGGTAATGCTGTGTTCACAACTCTATCAGAGACCTTAGCAAAAAGATCCTGTTTCTCAGACATAATAAAGAACACAGATTTAACTAATGATTTCTCAAAGTTGTGGAAAAAAGCTAGAATCTCCTGGTGCTCAGGCTGCCCAGGGGACAGGTAGGGCCCTGTGTCTCTGTGTCCCCACCAGCCCCAGCAGTGACAGCAACACCTCTCCTCACCATCATGGCTGCTTCTCTCATGCTGAGGAGACCCTAGGACCAGCTCCTTTCTGGGCACACCTCAGGCTCAGGGAGCAGTCTGGCTGGGAATACTCTGTATCTGAGTACCTCTCCTTGGCTGGGTGTTTCTTACCTGATCCTGAGTCCCACCTGCCTCATCCAAGGACCTAGCACCTTGATCTCCTTATCCAAACTCTGATCACACACACACACACACACACACACACACACACACACACACACACACACACACACGGGCTTATTTATTTTTTCAAAGTGTCCTCTGACTCCCACACTGTGTCCCTTTAATCCACAGTCCCTTGGCACTGGAGTACTTGTCTTCCCCAGGAATATCCCAACCACCCTCCTCCTTCACTGATAGGAAGAAAAACTGGTCCTTAACACATGCTGTAGTCATTAGCCGTCAACAGGGCACTCCAGCAGGGTGCCCCACCCCTCCACACCTGCCGATGTGTGCAGTGCCTCCCTCGCCACCCCTGCCCCCATCAGCCCCCAGGCCTTCACGAGGGGCCAGAACGCCTGGGGTATGAGGGGAGAGTGGGGAATTTGGGAGAGCAAGGGGCTTTCTCCGATCCCTCCCCTCACCTGCTGTCCGCCTTCCCAGGAGGAGGAGCGGAAGGAATAACAGTGTCACGTCTCTCTCTCTCTCTCTCTCTCTCTCTCTCTCTCTCTCTCTCTCCCCACCTCGCGCAGACCCTGCAGCTGACGGCAACGGCGTTTGGGGATGAGGCGGGAGAGGCTAATTATTGCTCCCCCGCCCTGCCCTCCCCCCCCCACAAGATGTATCTGACTGTCAGAAGGGGTGACAGATGAAGACAAAGTACAGGTACAGGCCCGGCCCTCGATGTACCAGCGGGGGGCGGGGGGCGCCACCGAGGTTTAACCCCTCCGACGCCGAGCACACAGCGGGGGAGGGCGCGGAGTCGAGATGCCCGAGTTAGAACCCGGATCCCTGCCAGGGCCTTCTCCTCCCTGCGCTAGTGATCTGGGCTGCAGGGCGGGTGGGAGGCAGGGAGCGACTCTTTCCCAGAGGCTGCAGAATCAAGGTCGCGAGCAATCCTTCAGGGAACCTGACAGGTACCCGGTGGAGTAGCCCGGATAGATTTGGGGGCTCCGGAACCCCCCTGAGAGGGACAGTTCCACCACTCTTCCACCTCCATGACAACGCCGCCCTCAGACAAGTCTGTCCCCAAGGGTGCTTGTCAGGGTGTGCTTGTGTATTTGAGAATAAGTGTGTGCAGTTGTGTGCCTGAACCTGTGTGTACTTGTGATGATGTAACTCAATAGGCTTGAGAGTACTTGAATGTGCTGGGCGTGTGCGCGCGCTTGGAAGCGGGGGTCTGAGGGCACCTGTGAGTGTGCTGCGCCGTGAGCTCAGTGTGCTGGGAGTGTGTGTGCAGGGGCGAGAGCCAGCTACTGCCTACACGTACGGCTGTGGTAAGGAAGCGCGTCTTCGGGAGAACGCCGTTGCATGCTTGCAAGTACTGAGGTGTCTATATTTGGGGGTATGTGGGCAAGGTGTGTCTTTCTGTGGGCACCTGATGCGTGCCAGTGTGAGGGTACGTGTGCAGGGGCGAGAGCCAGCTACTGCCTACACGTACGGCTGTGGTAAGGAAGCGCGTCTTTGGGAGAACGCAGTTGCATGCTTGCAAGTACTGAGGTGTCTATATTTGGGGGTATGTGGGCAAGGTGTGTCTTTCTGTGGGCACCTGATGCGTGCCAGTGTGAGGGTACGTGGACGTTGGTTCTGGTGTGTGTGCGCGTGGTTGTGTGTGCGTGTGTGCAGCAGCCCGAGGCTGCAGCCTCTCCCTCTCCCTGGCATCCCTCCCTTTCCCGACTCTCCTCTCTTCATAAGCAAACAAGGTAAAACAATTACTTTCCCATTTAAATGCTCCATGTTCAAACCAGAATGAAAACAAAGTGATTTAATACAATTGTCTTTAAAAGGAAAAAGAGGAAAATAAACGTCTGCCCTGCTCCCCTCCCGGGCAGTCAGGGAGGCCCTGAGCCCTTCAAAGTTAATTAAAACAGGAACTAAAATCGCAGAGTTGCTTACCAACCTTTTTCCCATCTCCGCCTTAAAGGTAAGGCAGCCCCCTGAACCCCTGCCTCAGGCCTGCACCTTGAGAGTCCCCATCCCCACCCCCATCCACCCGTCTAAGTCTCAACTTCTCCCTGGGACCAATCCTCATTCCTGGCAGGCACCCTGGACTTCCTACACCCACATCTGGGAGGAGGAAAACTCTGCACCTTCCCCCATCATGAAGCGTCATTAAAGGCCTTGTCTAGCCGTATGAAGTCCTTGATGGCCACTGGTCCCTATCAGAAGCTTCCGGCCCTGCCTCCTCCTCAAGGCACAGCCAGCTCTCAGCCCCTGCTGCCCCTCCCCATGGGTCCCCTGAGCCCCCAGCTGCTCTGAGCTTTATCTGTCTTCGCTGACCCTCTGGCCCGGTCCTCAGCTCCAGCTCAGAACAGTTCCGGCTGCTTCCGCCTGGTCTGTATCTGTTCCCCATCAGAGGCCCCATTGGAGCTCCAGCCCTTCAGCAGCCCAGATAAAAGAGATGGATGGAGGTGAGTTTGCGGGACGCCCCTCCCCAAAATCCCAGAGCCAGAGCTCTGGGTTCTGACAGTGGCTCCCTGAGGAGGGCTGGAGGTGGGGGCGAAGACTGCCAACATCTCTGGAAGTCCAGTCCCTGCCCATTCCCATCCTGCCTCAGCCCTTCCCCTCTTCCCAATGCCCAATTTCTAAGGCCTCCTCCAGGCAGGCGCCAAGGCTACGATCACCCCATTCTCAACATGCATACTTTAGCAGGAAGCTCTGCATGGGGCACCCTGGCCCCATCTCCATGCAGTTCATCTGCCCAGAAATGGTAATAGTAAAATTGAACATTTGTTGAACACCTATTGTGATCCAAACACATTATTTATAAGATCTCTAATATTCCTCAGAATCCCTATGGGGTAAGTTTTATCACTACTTTACAGAGGAGGACATAGAAGAAGGGAGGTTAAGAAACTTGTCCAAGGTATACACTTAAAAAGCAGTAGCTCAGTTGATTAGGCATGGTGCTGATAACACCAAGGTCCAGGATTTGATCCTTGTACCAAAAAGAAAAAAGGCAGTAGAACTGAGATTCACATTCATACTGCAAAACCTTGTGTCCCCTGGCCAGCTTATCCTTGACCTCAGAGCCCCCAGTTCTTCTCCCAAAGAGCCATTATTACCCTTCAGACACCACTGCCTCCAGAGAACCCCACTACTGCCCCGGAGATTTAACTCTTCTGACATCGAAGAGTTGAGCCCAGGAGAACTGTGGAGCCTTCTTCAGCCCTGCTCAGATCACCCAGGGTGGGGGTCAGGTGGGAGGCAGGAAGTGACTATCCCTAGAGTCCTCAACCCTCATCCTGGGAGACTCCATCCCTTCCCTCGGGCTCTCACCACTCTCCCAGGGGACTCCAGACCTCATTTTAGTAACCTCCAATCCAACCTGCCTTCCGAGGTGCTCCCCATCAAGGGGATGGGATGAGATTAGATTGCGGGGCAACTGTTGTCATCAAAACTGTACTTTTTTGGGGGGATGGTCAGTACGGGGATGCAAACCCTTGACCTTGGTGCCTTGGTGTTATCAGCACCATGCTCTAACCAAGTGAGCTAGCCACCAACCCCAAAACTGGACTTTTATAAGTGCTCACCCTATCCAGAGAGCCTTCAGTTGCCCAGATGGCAGAGAAAATGTCAAAATAAATCCAGGCCAGGAACCAGCCTGTGTCTTCAGCTCCTCCTCTTCCCCCCTCCCCGGCCAGTGAACACACAGTTCAGGGATGCAAAATCTCAACCCCTGGAAGAAAAGAGGGACTGAAGGAAGGGCAGAGAGGCAATACAGGAACAGAAATGTCAGGGCCAGGAACCCTGGTTTTAGGATGAAGTAGTCCAGCAAAGGAGGGTGAGAAGGAAGGGGTTGGTTATGAAGTACTGCTACAGACCAAGAATTAGGATGGCACCTGACTAATTAGTCCTGGCCTTGACTGCATGTGGAAAACATCTAGCAAAAGGAGGGAAAGAAGGAAGAAATGATTCAGAGACACCTTTTCAAATTCAGCCTAGGAGTGTGTGTGTGTTGGGGGGTGGGGAGTGGATATTCTGTGACTTTTCCAGGTCCATGCCTCACCCTTGTTTGAACCCCTGGGCTGAACCCAAACTGAAAGCTGATAATGGCAATGAGCCATTGGGTAGGCAATGAGCCAGGTGGCTGGGACGAGGCTTCATGGGACACTGGGATTGTGAGCCCTGCCCCACCTCACCCACCACTTAGATGAGTCACCTAAGCCAGGCCTAACCCTGGCCTAACCCTGGAGCCTTAGCTCTCCTCCTGTGCCTGCAGCACAGCTGGGACCCAGCTTGAGCAGAGAGAACTAGAGAATGTTAGGGGCCCCAGCATGGGGAAGGGAGGGGGTGGGACAAAGGGAAGCGTTACTCTATCTGAACTGGCTTCCAGGTTCCACCCAAAGACTGGTGTGTCCCTGCCATCAGAGCCTCTATCTCTGCCCCCACCTCCAATCCTGACCTCATTACTCCACTCAGACCCCTTCTCTACGCCACCACATCCCTCCCCACGTGCCTTAAGCCACCCCTCATTATCTGCAACTGACTCCCAGAGCTCACTATCTCCCAGACCTGATGCCTCCCAGTCTCTAAGTGCCCCCATCACTGCCCTCAGAAAAACTATTCCTACCCCCAGACCCCACCCATTCGCAGACCATTATCCTTCCTCCGGAGATGCTCTGCATTGAGCAAAGGTGAGAGGATCTTCCTTAACATTTTACTACCATAAGTGGACTTACATAGCTGATCCCTGCATAGAAAGAATGTAGTCATTCAGAGGGCTGAGGAAATAACCCAAATCTATCCTAGGAAGTAATCAGCCTATGTCTCCAGCCTCTTTCTCTCTGTCCTCTGCTGCCTGCACCCTCAGAATAGAGTTCTAGGTGACAGGACCTGCATTTTTGAGTAAAAAAACAAGGAATCTCCAGGCCCACCAGAATTTAAGCCTTTCTACCCCTCACATACACATATAGACAGTTACATGTACATGTGCACATAATCCTGTAAATATAGACATACACAATTAATATAAATATATGTACATTCACACATACAGAATGTAAGCTCCATGAAGAAAGGGACTAAGCCTTTCTACCCCTCACATACACATATAGACAGTTACATGTACATGTGCACATAATCCTATAAATATAGACATACACAATTAATATAAATATATGTACATTCACACATACAGAATGTAAGCTCCATGAAGAAAGGGATAATTTTTATCCATGATGTAGCCCCAAGCACTACCATAGTGCTGGTATATAATAAATATTTGTAGAAAGAAAGATACATAATGGAACATATACTTGCAAATAAATGTATATACATACACATATAACAATATGTCCATATACACAATGCCCATGTGCACACATGCATATAATCCCATATAGGGATGGCCGGTTAGCTCACTGGCTGAGCGTGGTGCTGACAACACCAAGGCCACGGGTTCGGATCCTATGTAGGGATGGCCGGTTTGCTCACTGCCAGAGCGTGGTGCTGACAACACCAAGTCAAGGGTTAAGATTCCTCTTACCGGTCATCTTTAAGAAAAAAAGAAAGAAAGAAACACGCGGGGAAAGCCTGGTAAGCCGTGGAGAGGCAAAGCCGAAAGTTCCGTCAGCGGCTCCGCGCCCCCTCCCGCTCCCTCCTCCTCCCCCCTCCCCCGGGAGCAGCGGGAAATTATTTATTAAAACGCCGCCCGCGCTCTCTCATTTATTTGCGGTGAATAATCCTCGGCATCTCAGCGCGTTTATTAAACCTTTCCCGTCCCCGCGCCCGCATTACTTTAATAATAAATCGCGTGTCACTTTTCAGCGACGTTATTAAAGCCGGTCCGCTGCAGCAAAGGAAGGGTAAGGGGAGGGTGGGGGCGGTAGGCAGCGGGGGTTCCTCTCATTCCAGGCTGTGGGGCCTGAACCAGCAACGCGGCGGAAGGGGAAACTGAGGCTGCTCCTGAACGTCCTACAAAGTCTGCAAATGCGACTAAGGAGTAGCGATTCCCTGGAACCCTGGTGACCCTCTCCGGTTGGGTGGGGCTTTGGTTGGGTGGGGCTTTGGGCGTGGAGCCTCTGCTCCGCAGCGGGCATGGTAGCATCGATGCGCCCGCAGGGGGCGCCCTCGACCCGGCTCTCTTTCAGCGCGGAGCCAACCTTCCTCTGGTCCAGATGCAGAACAGCACGCCCCCCACCAGCCCATACCCCTGCTCCTGCTTCCCCAGTCGCTTGGAGTTCGCTCTGTATCCAACCCGCCAGCGCTGTCGTGCGCGGCTCCGGGGCCACCGGCTCAAGCCAGGCTTCGGCAATGAGAATCGTCCTGTGGCTTAGGGGCCCTGGGCAGGGCGGCAGCAGATGGAGTGGTGCGTGGCCAAGCCCTGGGGTTAGGGCTCCGGACCACGCCCCTCCCAGGAGGCCGGGCTCCCCGCATTGGGCCCCAGAGGACAAACTCAGACGCCGAGCCCTGAGCAGGCCCTCCTGCGGTGGCGCCAACCTCCGGGCGGAGCCCAGGCGCGTAGGAAGTCGTCACCGTCCACACACAGCGTCTTGGCCTCGCTGACTTATGCTTTCATTCTCTCCTTTAATCATTCAAATAAACACTGCGCCTCACCAGTGTCCCCGGGCTAGGTAAGGAGAATGTGAGGAGAGATTCGGGCAGCCAAAGAGTGCGGTTCTGTGAAGGACCCAAGCCAGATAGGACAGGTCACAATTGGGGCAGACAAGAAACAAGCTTACCATGGCTTTTTTCAGCTGGGAAATGGGTAGATTCCTGTGGAAGTTGGGGAAGGGTGTGCCCACACAGGTAGTCAAACTTCTCTCCTCTATCCAGTTTATGATTTCATATTGAGGTCCTATCCACATAGACCTGGTTTCCCACCCTGCCTGGGGAGGAGTCCAGAGCAAGATGAACAGAGGGACAGATAATCTCTCTCTGTAGCAGCTCCAATGGAGAGCAGACTGGGAGTACAGTCCCTACAACCGGACAGCTCCAGCCTCCCTCCCTAGAGGGCAGTGTAGGCCAGAGCCAAGGCCTTCTCTCTGTACACATGGCAGGCATGTGCTTGAGAGCAGGAGCCATGGCTTCTGGAAGTCAGAGTCCTGTTAGTGTGGGAGGGCTGTCCGGGACATCCAGTCTTCATATACACATATGCATAAAATGTCCGTCCATCTGTGTGGCTCAGTTTGTTTATAAATCTTTATTGGTGCCTAGTGTGCCTAGTCCTGTGCTAGGCTTTGTCCAATACAAGGTGGTATAAGACACAGAGCTGGCCTAGCCAATTTTACTGCACTGAACTAAGCCATGCTCTACTGTGCCCCCCTGTACAAAAGACAGCAAACAGCAAGGATGACTGCAGTTAATAAGTGCAACTGGGACTTAGGAGAGAGGGAAAACTTCTGGAAGATAAGTTTTGAGGAAGGGTGAATAGGCTAGGCAAAGGTTGGGGACCAGAAAAATAATAGCAGAAACCAGGGCCTGTGGGGAAGGGCAGTTAGGAGAGAGTGGCTGAGCAGGGCCAGAGGGAGGGCTGCCAGAAAGAAGAAGATCCTGGTGTCTGCACATCTTTGTGTATGCTTCAGCCCCCACCCCAGCCCCCACCTGTTGCCTTCTGCCTGGCTGGCCTAGGTTGCAGATCTTACTGGCCAGAGCAGTTCCTGAACAGGCCCCTTTGCATCCTATCACTCCTAGTCTCTGCCTCTCTCTATGCTCCACCAACTTTCATCTGTCCCCTACCTCCACCATCATGAGCAGCCCCCAATGAGAGCATTAAAGTGATCCATGAAGGGACCCTGCTCCCCCTTCCCAGGCTTTTTCAAGAGCATGGATGAGCACTATGCCCATTCACCCACCCCCATGAGCCAGAGCTCTGGACCTAGTAGTAATCATTCTCTTCACTCTCAGCCTCTTCCTCAGGAACCAGGTTCAGTGATTGCAGCTGGGGGATGCCCGTGGAGTTCAGCTGGTCTGCAAACACACATGGGCAAAGGAGAAAGAACAAGAGAGAGGGGCTGTCAGTGCCCACATGTCCCAGTCTGTGGGAAGGCTATGGTTGTGTGTGCACACCCACATGCACATACACATGTGGACTGTTTCTTACACACACACTCAAGGACCTAATCCAATACTATCTTCCCAGTCCCCCAGAGCTCAGGGCTCCTTCTTACCTGGTGTGAGCACAGTCAGGCTAGCAGTGGCCTCGACCTGCCCCAGGGCATTGCGGGCAAGGCAGCGGTAGGTGCCCTCATCACTGGGACGCACAGCCTGTATCTGCAGCCAGCCGGTCACCTCAAACCTCTGGGGTCCACCCCTAAACTGGAGCCAGATGAGGAGTCAGCAGAGTCCTTCTGGGGGTCCCTGGGCTGCCTGAGGGAAGCCTCTGCTCTGTCTCTACCTGCACAGAGATGTGGGGGTCATCCCCTGGCAGCTGGATGTCCAAACCGTCCTTCCTCCACTCGATGGAAGCCATGGGGTAGGCGAACACCTCACAGCCAAAGATCACATCCTGCCCTGTCACATTCCAAATGTCGTATGGGTGCGACACGATCTGGGGCTCTGGGGGTGGAGGTGGAAGGCCTGAGAACAGGATGGCATATCCAGCCCAGCAAGGACATGATATATACAAATTATTGGAGACATGTTGTGGCAGAACCCAATATGCTGAGGTAAATACACATCCATAAGCAAAACATGACATGTACACAGACACATACAAATGTAGATGCAGGTGCACACGGTACAAACTCAGATATGGAGATGTACATGCACACAGAGCACCGTGCAGACACGATGCACAGACAAGCACACAGACCCAACCTTAGCTTGGCAGTGACACTCTGTCCCTGAGTGCTCCCCTGTCCTCATCCCACCCTTCCAGGCCCCTTTCCTGTTGTGCTTGTAACCAACACCTCCCTCCTACCTTCCTTCTTTTCTAAACAGGCCCAGTTCCCAAAGGACCAAAGAGCAGCCCTTCCTCCACCCGACCCCCTGGGGGGTCCAGAGGCAAAGGCGGAGAACCTGAAACCAAACCAGACCTGAGTGGTAGGCAGGAATCCTGGAGAAATAGGGAAATTGTTGGGACCCCTGCAGGGCGTGTTTTCCTAGCCACCCCAGACAAGCCAGACCCCGAGCAGGGGGACAGGAAATGAAAGTGACTAAACCTGCCAAAGAAAACTCGAGGCTTGAATGGCCCTAGTCCCCAAGGATGTGGGGAGAGAGAGCTAGAAGAACCCTTGGCGCCACCCCCCCCACTTTTTTACTAATCACTAAACGCAGGAGAAAGGAGAGAGGTAAGGAGACTGGGTTAACAGACTGCTCAAAGAATCTGCCCAAACGAAACCTGATTGCATTTCACAGGAACCCGTCTCGCTGCCTGGCCTCCAGCGGTCTGGGCAAAGTCTGGGCTTTTCTTGATTCTTTCAATTTTGAGCCAACCATTGGCTATGTGCCTGCTGTCTGAGAGGTCGGTCCCTGCCAGCAGGGTCTGGAACTTTCACGCGGCTCAGCGCACGCAGCTTACGACAAAGCTGGGGACCCGCATCTTCAGGAGGCGGCCTCTAAGGACCAGCAGCGACAGCAGGGTCAGGGTCTTACACTGGACTCGAGACCTCCCTGGCTTCATCTCTTTTGCTTCGCTGACCAGAAACCAACACCCTCGGGGGTCAGGGAGGAGTACCTCGAGGAAGCCCAAGTGCTGGGGGTAGGGGCCCCGGACCGTGCGTACCCGCTTCGCAGGGCCCTGGGTGCGCCACAGTGAGGTTGGCGTCGGGCCGAGCGCGGGCTGCCTCCTGCAGGCGGCAGATCTGGGCGTAGGTGCGTCCATCGGAACCGCAGAGCGGGCGCTGCGAGCGGCAGGCACACAGCGGCTCCGGCACCTCTCCCCAGCTCAGGTCACCGCCTGCGTCCAACCTGCACTCAAGCTGCTCGCCGCAGCGCCCGTAGAAATGAGCACTGGGGTCCAGGTCGCAGAGCTGGCCCTCGAGGTTGGCGCATTCCCAGCAGCAGCCGCACGCGTCGTGCACCCAGCCCGCCAGGCAGCCCCGCGGCGCGGCGCACTCTTCTGGCCGGCAGGGAGCGCAGCCTTCGCCCTCCGCTAGTAGCCGCAGCCAGCCGCGCCGCAGGTAATCGGGACCTGGGGACGGCCTTGCGCTGGTCGGGGGCGGCGTCTGCACCACCACCAGCAGCAGCACTAGCAGGGGCAGCGCCAGTGCGGTTGAGGGCGGCTGCGGCATGGTTAGCTGGAGGCCCTGCGAGCGCTCGGGGCATCAGCGCGTTCGTGGCACCCTGCCAGGGAGGGAAGCCAGGTCAGGAGGTCAGAACAATGCCTATGCTGAGAGACCAACATCACTGCTCTTTGTACCAAAGCTTGACCCTAGCATTGCCTTCTCCCCTGCTACCTCAGAGACACGTAGACACCCCCAGCTACACCCAAAGAGGTCTAGTGACCCTCTAGGGGTTATCCAGTCATGTCGGTTAGCAATTGATGGAGCTGTTCTTGGGCTGAGGAGTGAGGAGAGGTTAGAGGAAGGGGCGATAAGCTAAGGTGCGCCCCTCACACACCAACTCCACCAGCAGCCCCTCCATACACCATCCAGCTCTAATGCTCCAACCCAAGATGGATGGGAACGGAAGGCTCCGGAAGAAGTTGTTGATGGGGGGGCAGGGGT